TTGCAGCCTCGTTGTAATAGTTGCTTCAAACTCTGTCAGATAATTAATTCTAACATCTCAGGTTAAACATCTGTTCATCATTTCCCCCTTCCCAACTTAACTGGCTGCTTGTATGTTAAGTAATTTTGGATTTTGTCTTGAACATTATGAATATTACACTTGGTCTTATAAAAATCTGTTTGGTTTATCTTCACAGGAAATAAACCTAGTAGTTGGTTTTAAATCACAGGTCTCATCTCTCCTTCTGTAGCCAGTGTTTAGACATTGGGGGTATGAATCTTGGCTATCCTACCTGCCATTGATCTCGCACATGAGCAGCTCACAGGTGGGCCTGGGACTTACACCTGATCAGACACGAGGCAGAGGATTTCCTTCTCCAGCTCTTTCTCTTTGGGTTCCCCTATGTACTCTTGGTCTCCCAGGGACCCATTATCCCATTCCTCTGGACAGAAAGATGGGTTTCTTTTAGAGTTTTAGTTACCCATGATTCTGCCACCCAGCTTTGCATGACTGAGTCAGGCCCTGAGCAGAGTGATAAGGTAAAAGAGCAAGAAAAAGACAGTAAGAGTCCTGACCTCTTTCCTCTACTCTGCCCTTCAGAGCACAGGGTCTTCCTTTGCATGTTCCTTCTGTCAGAAAAGACATTTTTTTTTTCTTCCTCAAAGTTTTAGCTGCCTACATGGCAACTGCACATTTCCCTATTTGGGGCCACTCGAGTGGCAGGGTGAGGAGAGTATAAACAAGATAAATAAGAAAAAAATGTTGTTTAGAGTGTTTCTCCACATTTCGAGCTCACAGTGGACCTCTCCACCATTCTCTATTGAAAGAGGGCGCTCATACTGGCTGGGCTGCTCAGTTCCACAAATGACGCCTACCGTGGACCAAATGTGAGAGACAAAAAAGGAAAAAAAAATAAACAGGAAACTCTCTCATGAGGCTTTCTTCCTTAATTTTTGTTTTACCTTCCCACTTTGCCTGCTACTGTCTACCTTTCATATAGCTGCGTTTTGAATTGTCCAGATGTTTTAGTTTTGCTGTTTAGAGGCAGTAATAGACTTACTCCATCTTGCTTGGCATTGGAAATGGGTCTATCTTTTAGAATGTCTTTTATCTTTCATTTCTGCATGATTGGACAAAGGGGTGCTTCAAAGTCTGAGTTTAAGCCAAGCACAGTGGCATAGGCCTGTAGACCCAGCTACCTGGGAGGATTGCTTGAGCCCAGGAGTTTGAGGCCAGCCTGGGCTACATAGCAAGACTCCACGTCTGGGAAAAGAAGAAGCATGAGCTTAGAGTGCCATCATCAACTGAAAATATTTGGTGCCTAAAACAAAAACCTGGTATTTAAATTTTTTGAATATCTGTAACACTAACAGAAAAGATTCCTCTCAAAGACTTCGCACTGTATAGAAGCTATTGGAAGTTATGTCTTGATGATTATATGATTAATGTCTAGCATGGAATCTGGTTTATTGAAGATGATGATTATTTTTATAAAGTTAAATAATGAGTGCTCTAGCACTCATTCTGGTCAAGTGTTCTGGTTGCACAAAAGAGAGAACAACTCAAAGAGGCTGAAGTGAAAGCGGAAGTAGTGTGGGCTCTGAAATCTCATGGAACCCAAGAACAAGCAGCAAGAGGTTCATCTCAACTTCCTAGCAACAACGTTTGGAATTTGGAGTGCTGGGAGAAGCCAAGGCAGCTTCTTTCCCATGTGTGTTGTTTTTGGTGGTGTGGGGGGGATTACATGGTTCCTTATATTTATTACTCTGTGTTTGCTTAATCCTCTTTCCTTTCTCCACAAAGTTATCAGCTTCTTAGTGACAGCATTGAGTCACTGCATCAACCCTGCCCAAAGCCAGCTCTGCCTTAGCTTAAAGTAAATTTTCCTTTATGTGATCAATCCATTTTCTATTCTATTTTCGGCAGTTTGGGTTGAATTAAATTGCAAAAGAAATCACCCTAAAAACCATTCTCCTCTTTATCCTATTTAAGGTCCCATCAGCTTTGAGATTCCAACTCCCTTCTATTTCTCTAGCTCCTCCTCTGCTTTCCTTTCCTTTCCCCTTTCCCCTTTCCCCTTTCCTTTCCTTTCTTTTTTTTTTTTTGAAGCAGAGTCTTGCTCTGTTGCCCAGGCTGGAGTGCAGTGGTGCAATCTTGGCTCACTGCAACCTTCACCTCCCGGATTGAAGTGATCCTCCTGCCTCAGCCTCTCGAATAGCTGGAATTACAGGCACATGCCACCTTGCCTGGCTAAGTTTTGTATTTTTAGTAGAGACAGGGTTTCACTATGTTAGCCAGGCTGGTCTCGAACTCCTGATCTCAAGTGATCCACCTGTCTTGGCCTCCCAAAGTGCTGAGATTACAGGTGAGAGCCACTGCGCTCAACCTCTAGCTTCTTTCTCTACCTCCCAGTCTAGGTCTACATCTGACTCCAAGTCAACAGACAAACATGAATCCTGCTTTTCAGTTGCCTCCCAACAAGGCAATTCTCAGTGTTCATCTGTAACAAATTTTAGTACTTCATGACCCTGTTGGGAGGCTTGCCATATTAAGTCCAATTTTCTTGGTTCTCTGAACTTACTGGTGTTTGTGCCTCTTCTTTGATAGCTAATAATGTAAGTAACTGGATGTGTTTCTTCCTTACATATTATGTCTGAACAGCTCATCTACTTCCACCTCTCCCTTGCTCTCACACACAAATGGAATAAATACTTGTTTAAAACCTATTAAGCCTGGGGAGAAATGCCAAATGTGGGTGAAGGGGAGAAAGGAAGCAAAACACACTGCCACGTGTGTACCTATGCAACTGTCTTGCATGTTCTGCACATGTACCCCAAAACCTAAAATGCAATACAAAATAAAAAAAAATATTAAAGTCATTATTTCCCACTTTCATTTTATTTTGTTTTAATCCATGTCTTATGCTAATTTATTAACAATCCACCTTTAAGATGGGCAGATAATAGGATCTGTTTGCATCTGTCTGAAGGAGATTCAGATTCATGGAGGAGCAAGTGTTGCCAAATAAACTGATATACCTAATGCATAGTGAACACCTATTTTTTTTTTTTTTTTTTTTAGATAGGAACTGACTCCATCTCCCAGGTTGTAGTGCAGTGGTGCGATCATAGCTCAATGCAGCCTCAAACTCCCTGGCTCAAGTGATCTGAGGGCCTATTAAACCCAACATTATGTTATGTATTTTCCATGTATTTACACATTTAATCTTTGAGGATATGCATGAGGTGTGTGAAACTATCATCCCTATGAGGAAACTGAGGTCTAGAGAAGTTAAGTAAATATGGTTATGAAATAGCAGAAGCAGGGCCAGAATCCAGGCTTCTCTTACTCTAAAGCCTAAATTCTTAACGATTTTATTTGAAAGCCTCCCGGAAACTATCAGGCAGTGCTCCTTTTACCAAGGAAGGGTTTGTGCTTGGTGTTATCAACTAGGAAGAATGGGGAAAACAGATCACTTCCAGGGAGCAGTGAGAGCCAGACCATCTCTTAATATGTTCGTGTGCTCGCGTGTGTGTGCGTGCATGCATGTTTATGTTTCAGGCGTGCTGTCTCCATGGTTTCTTTGAGTAAATGTGAAAGGTGATCTACCTTATCTAATTAGATTAATGGAATATTAGCTTAAGAGTTATTAATGTTGGTGACAAATATCTCCTTTATACCCAGTGGCTCTAGCTCACCTATTATACCTGTGAACAAGTAGGCATTTCTCACCATAACTGGTTCAAGGTTTGCTTTTCTTCATGCTTCTGGACAAAGCAGACAAGATAATTCACCCGATGTGGTGGGAAGGGTTACTGCTTTGTGAGGACTGGCCTGGAAGACTGTGGTAGGTGATGCTAAATTTTTTGTGTGCACACAAGCTCTCAAAAGTCACACTGTAGTGGAAACACAAACATGCCCTGCAGGGTGGCACACCAGCGAAGAGCCAGCTGGGAGCCCAATCTTTTTTGGCATCCTCAAGGTAAAATTAATCCTTGTACCAACTGGAGTCTTTTTGATATTGGCCAGAGGCCCTTGCAGAGATAGAAAACACCTGGCTTAATTTTCCAGGCTGGGGTAGGATGGGCTAGCACTTTAGAAAGAGAGAAAGGCAATGGCAGGACTCATTGCTTATTTTTATAAGTAGAGCAAGACAGATCCAGCAGTCAATGATGAACATGGCAGGTGGTGAATAAGGCAGCTCCTTATAACACTCCTGGAGTTGATGCTTCAATAACCATGGGATTCCCAAGGGCTCCAGCACAGGTACAAAGAGGTGGAGGAATTAAATAATAGCTCAGAGGAAGCAATAGATTTTTTTCCCTCTTGACTCCCCGCTTCCCCCTTGTCAGCAATAGAGTGAGTTGACAGATGTTTGTAGCTTCCTGCAGCATTTGGTTCCAGCTGTGTGCACGGCATGGGTAGTAGCAGGAACATTGTGTTTTCCAGCTGTTCATCATGTTCAGACTAGCGAGTGTGTGTTTAGGTACAGGCTGTGTCTGTGTGTGTATGTGGGGTGGCCCGTGTTTATGTGTATGTGTATGACCAAATTGCTGTTATTTGTGAGGATTTTGTCACAGCCTAGGAGTCCAGGCTAAATGAGTCATGTTTTCTTTTTCTTGGACAGTCAAATCTTTTTTTCTTTTTTTTTTTGAGATGGAGTTTCGCTCTTGTTACCCAGGCTGGAGTGCAATGGCGCGATCTCAGCTCACCGCAACCTCCGCCTCCTGGGTTCAGGCAATTCTCCTGCCTCAGCCTCCTGAGTAGCTGGGATTACAGGCACGCGCCATCATGCCCAGCTAATTTTTTTGTATTTTTAGTAGAGACGAGGTTTCACCATGTTGACCAGGATGGTCTCGATCTCTTGACCTCGTGATCCACCCGCCTCAGCTCTTTTTTCTTAAAAAGTAAGCAATTAATATTCTCTCCCAGCCAGCTTCCTCACTTCTGTTAGACGAAGTCACCATCAAAGATATAGAAGCCAAGACAGATTTTGATATTGCCTGACACTTTAATTTCAGATATAATTTGAGGACAGATGGTTTATCTTAAGAAGCTTCCTTTTATTGGTAAATGACCTAGCTGATAGTTATAAATATATCTTCTTCCACTTACATATTCCTTTTAGGAAAAAAGAGAATGAGAGAATCCTATACTATTTAAGCTACCTCAACTATTAATAAATCCTGATTTTGAAATAAACTGTTAGCCATTGTAGTCAGCAACTTTGCCAACTTCTGAGCGCCTCTTGCCTCTTTGGTAGCTTCACTGTAAGTAGAATTCATTCATTCATCACACAAACATCAAGTATCCATGTTCATCTGTCATATTTTGGTATTTATTGAGTTACTCATGGACTTGTCAAAAATGCAAATGCCCAGGCCCTACCTTCATCCAACTGAATCAGAATCCCCAAGGAGTAGGTTCTAGAAATATGATTTTTAAAAAGCCTGTTTTAGAGGTGTTTGGGGAATACAAAGATGAAAAGCCCAGCCCTTTCTCCCTGCTAGATCATTGTACAAATGAATAGATAAGCTAGAGCAAGAAATGTCCATCTAAGCTATGATAAAATATGTACGACACCCATGAGGGGAAGTTGCATCTACTGAGAGGACAGTGATGCAGGGGTTGCCTGACCAGTTGGTGTAGTGCTTGCTTCCATAGCTTGGCTGTTGGGGAATGGTCAGTCTTCTAGAGTCTATGTGATGTTGCCTCCAAGAGTGGGCATTAGATATGGAAAGAAGGAATGCATCTTGCCCTAGACTGTCCTAATCTAGTAGTCAACAATGGACTGAAAGGATGAGGCTAGAAGGAGGATTTGCCAACTCGTCAATGCTCTCATTTCTGATGAACATTTTCCAGCTTTCTCTTTGGTAGTGTGATCAAGGCTGGAGATTTCACAGTAAGGCACTTACAAAGCTCATTGGGCTTACCACCAGGAAAAATGGAATTCAGCTCTGTCCTTGCCACTTGTTAGCTGGGCAGTTAGTCTCTTGCCTACTTTCCCCCATCTGCGAAGGCAGATAATGATAACTACATTACAGGATGGTTTTGGGAATTATATAATGTTTAGCACATAAACTGCTTGGCAGTGCACCTGGCATGTGGTCAGTGCTAATAAGTATTTATTTTCATAAATAATATAAATAATACAGGACCCCATTTGTGTCCCCAGAAATGACTCCTTCTCAGGCCATCAAACCCAAACTCCACATGAACAGTGGCTCTCGACCATTTGCTCTGGCCCAGCTCCCTGGAGGGCTATGACACTGTCATAGCAGTCCCACTGGCTCAGGGCAGTGATTCTCAATCTGGGGCCCATTCTTTCTAGCTCAAGTTGGCTTCATAAAAGTCCCCAGGAAATTTGGACACCGCCTCCTGTCCCCACAAGGGCACTTGCTCATCATGCCCGTCTCCCACTGAGATTTATTTCTTTGGGTGGTGAGTCTTTAGCAGGGTGTGCACACCTGCAGTTCTCAAGGATTTTTGTCAAAATACACATTCTGCATCCCACCTTGGACTTGGTAAGCAATAATTTCCCTGGTGGGGCATTGCTAAGTGTATTTTCTCTTCCTAGGAAATACTGATCTATAGGCCTGGTTGAGAATTATTGTCTTTGTGGATGTTTCTCTGCTCAGCAATGTCTCACTCAGCTGGCACAGCACGAAATTTTCTAGCAAAAATTAATGGTGTCCACATAGCTTTTCAAAGCTCAGAGATTCTGATCCTGTGTGACAAACTGAGGAGGCAGAACCTGTGGTGATAAGGACGTATGACAGGAAGAACTCTATGTATAAAGGGGCCTTGTATGTCACCGTACACATGGTATATATTTCATGGTACTTAATAAAGGGCAGCACTTGTTATTATTGATATTCATTGTGTACTGGCCTCAGGGTTCCTGGCTCCTGAAAAGACCTGTTCCCATTTTAGGAGAAAAGATTCCAAATCAGGGAATCAAGAAACCAGATGGCTGTTTGGGAAGCATTTAGAAAATGTGACAAGAGGTGTCATACACAGGCTAGCAGCAGACATTTTAAGAAAGGTAATTACTGTAAACTTTGTTTTTATTTCCCTTTTGGATTCTGAAATTACATAGGAAGGAGAGTAGTGTGCTGGAAGCTGGGGTGGAGATGGTGAGTGATGGTCTCCAAAGACTCAGTCCCTAAGTTCTGCAAACAGCAACACAGCAAACCCCAGATTGGCACAGGCTTTGATTTTTGTCTCTTAGCATTCATACTTGAGGTGTGGGCTTCCTAGTTGCTGTGCAAAAATGAGTGTAGCCACGTTTCCAACTGAGCCTACTGGTGATGTCTGCAACCCCTGCCAAGAGCCTCAGAACAGAGACTTTAGTAGAAGATGGAAAATGAATGACTCAACAGAGTGAGGAAATGCTGTCTTCTCAGTTTCTTTTGATTGTCCAGAAAGGGAGACCAGAAACGCTGCTCAGAACTAAGACTGGAAAGGGAGGTTATAGCATTAGAGCAAAGACTGGGAGACAAAGGAACTGAAGTCAAATGAGACTTCTATGAAATACTTTGGAAAGTACAGATTTTGAGATTAATTACATGAATCGATAACTGTATCACTGATGCAGGTTACAGACATCAGCTGGGAATGAAGGTGATTCTCAGGGCCCTTAATTTAGCCCTTAGCCCCCAGCCAGACCTAAGCCTGCACCTGGCTGCACAGAGAGGCAGTCTGTTCCATCCTTGGAATTCCAGCTTAGGTGACACTACATAAGGCATTTTGGTTTAGTGGTTCCTTAAATAAGACAACGTTTCTTTAAGGCTAATCTCTCTCCTGCTGAAATTTCCTACCCTCCTGGGCTTTACCTTTAAACTGCTTGCGGCTCATCTGAAAAGTGCAGCTAGCAGAGTGCAAGCTAGTGCTCTAGTGACCGTTTGAATCAATCCTAGGACAACTAGCACGCACGGAAAAACTTGCCTTTCTCTGCTGCCCCCACCTCCATCAGAGAGAACATGGAAAATGTTCCTTGGCCACTCCCTCCTCCCCTTACTGAAGGATGCTGTGTATGTGCATCTGAATGGGGGTGGGGTGGGAGGGTGGAGTCTAGCTTTCTTGCCTTAACAAAAACATAATGGTTCCCAGCAGGTCAGAGCTGGGCAACCCAGGAGGCAGGATCCCGTCCTCTCTCGGATCTGCAGGAAGGGTGGGGTGTGCAGGTCCAGGGTAGGATGCTGGTTCTGGCCGGCGGTGCCTGCGGAGCCCTTCCTGATGTAACTTCTTTATTAGACAAACCCTCACTCCCGCCAGGAGTAGACACACTAGCGCTGCTTTAGGAAGATTTCTGCAACACGGCAGGGTGCAATTCAAAATCTGGGTTCTCCTTTTCTGAGCTTAGAACACAATTTGTTCTGAGATAGGAGAAGGCTCTGTAGGCAGAAGATCGAAGAGAAGGGAGAAAGCGCCCGGCGTCAGCGGGTCGCTTCCAGCCGTGACCACGAGCGGCCAGCAGGTGTCAGTGCGTCCTCGCTCTGCCCTGGCGCTCGGCTCCAGGACCCCCTCCCCACCTCGTCTAAGGGGCGCAGTCCAGACCCCAGGTCGCGCGTGTCCCGTAGACAGCTGGGCGGCTGGGAGGACACGTAGCCACTTCTCCCCTAAGCGGAGTTCTGAACTCTGGCCTCCGGGCGTAATGGGTGCTGTCCATTCCGCCCCAGGCGTTCTATCCGAACCCGCGCCTTCCTCCCTCGCCAGGACCCCTCTGTCCCCAGCCGCTAGGAGCACCGGCGGGCCCGGTCCGCTCTGGCTCGGGGCTAGGAGGCTCCAGCTGTGACTCACACCAGAGGTTGCTTCCCTCGATTTGGGCCGGGATTCCCCTCCACTCTTTCTTCCCCTTTCTTCCAAGATCCACCTCCAAGAGGGCACTCACGGGTGCCCGTTGCATTCTGCTCCGTCGGCCCGGAGCTGCACCGCCAACTCCCAGCAGGGGCCGCTTCCCCACTCTCTGACCCCACCCCCTTTAAGCCTCTGGTTCAAGGTACCCGCCTCTCCAAAGGGCTCATCTCGCCTGAGGGCGACGCTCCCCGGGTCCCACGTTGGGCGCGGGCGCTAGACTGGCGGAGGGGTGGTGCGAGGGGCGGGGGAGGGTCGGCTTCCCACGTGGGGGCTGACGCCGGCTGCTCAGCAACGCCGGCTTGATCCTGGGGCTATAAAACGTGTCCACCGTGAGCGCAGCGGAGCAGCAGCGGCCCCGTCTCCGTGCAGACGCCGAGCAGTCGGCGCGCCGCCGCCCGGCCACTCCAGCGCCTTCTTCCCCAGCCTTGCGCTCCTGCCCCAACTCGCGCTGTCCTCGGTCCCCGGCTCATCCAGCCGCTCTCGGCTCCCACCAAGCCGACGCCCAGGAGATCCCCTGCTTCCGTCGCGGCTCCTGAAGAGCTGATCGTTCACCTGCCCCAGCCCGCCTGAGGACCGGGGTGCCTTCATGCGGCCCCCACACTCTTCACCCCGCCGCCGCCGCCGCCCCCGAGCTCAGCACAGTGCGCCCCAGCCGCAGCAGGGCGCACAACTTTGGAAGTCTCGCGGCGCTCCGAGAGGCGGCAGAGTCAGCGCCTCAGACCCGGGCCGGGCCCGGCCAGCACCGCAGCGTCTGGGGGAAGCCAGAGAGTCGGTAATCGCTTCGGGGATTTAAGGAGACAGACATAGGACCCTGAGCTCGCATCAGCACCCCTCAGCTGCCTCCGGGGTGGGGGCGGGCCCCGCACACGGTAAGACCTCTTGCTTTCGCTCAGGCTCAAGAGTCAAAATATAGATATTGATATGTATATGTATATTTAATTTCCTGTCATCCTTCCAAGTTATCAGGCCACCGATGATTTTTGTTCTCTCTTCTTGAAGAATAAATCTCTCTTAACCCATCGGCTCGCCCTACTCTCTCCCGCCGCTTAGAAATAAAACTTGGCTGTGTTAGGATCTCCGAGCGAGAAGGCGCCCACCGAGAGCGTCCGAAGCGCGGGCCAGGCGCAGTTCGCGGGATCCGGGCCATGGGCCGCTAGCGGTCCCCTAGATCGGGCCCGGCCTCCCTGCGGCCCCCTCCCTATGTGAGCCGCGGCCAGGCGAGCGGGGCGCCGGAGGAAGAGGAGGACCCACGGGCGCCGGGCCGGAAGGCAGCTGGCAGCAGGCCCAGGCGAGCGGGCACCCGCGTTCATGTTCCGCCAGGAGCAGCCGCTGTCCGAGGGCAGCTTTGCGCCCATGGGCTCCTTGCAGCCGGACGCCGGCAACGCAAGCTGGAACGGGACCGAGGCGCCGGGGGGCGGCGCCCGGGCCACCCCTTACTCCCTGCAGGTGACGCTGACGCTGGTGTGCCTGGCCGGCCTGCTCATGCTGCTCACCGTGTTCGGCAACGTGCTCGTCATCATCGCCGTGTTCACGAGCCGCGCGCTCAAGGCGCCCCAAAACCTCTTCCTGGTGTCTCTGGCCTCGGCCGACATCCTGGTGGCCACGCTCGTCATCCCGTTCTCGCTGGCCAACGAGGTCATGGGCTACTGGTACTTCGGCAAGGCGTGGTGCGAGATCTACCTGGCGCTCGACGTGCTCTTCTGCACGTCGTCCATCGTGCACCTGTGCGCCATCAGCCTGGACCGCTACTGGTCCATCACGCAGGCCATCGAGTACAACCTGAAGCGCACGCCGCGCCGCATCAAGGCCATCATCGTCACCGTGTGGGTCATCTCGGCCGTCATCTCCTTCCCGCCGCTCATCTCCATCGAGAAGAAGGGCGGCGGCGACGGCCAGCAGCCGGCCGAGCCGCGCTGCGTGATCAACGACCAGAAGTGGTACGTCATCTCGTCGTGCATCGGCTCCTTCTTCGCGCCCTGCCTCATCATGATCCTGGTCTACGTGCGCATCTACCAGATCGCCAAGCGTCGTACCCGCGTGCCGCCCAGCCGCCGGGGTCCAGACGCCGCCACCGCCGCGCCGCCGGGGGGCGCCGAGAGCAGGCCCAACGGCCTGGGCCCTGAGCGCGGCGCGGGCCTGGCGGGCGCTGAGGCCGAGCCGCTGCCCACCCAGCTCAACGGCGCCCCGGGTGAGCCAGCGCCGGCCGGGCCGCGCGACGCCGACGCCCTGGACCTGGAGGAGAGCTCGTCGTCGGACCACGCCGAGCGGCCCCCAGGGCCCCGCAGACATGAGCGCGGCCCCCGGGCCAAGGGCAAGGCCCGGGCAAGCCAGGTGAAGCCGGGGGACAGCCTGCCGCGGCGCGGGCCAGGGGCCACGGGGCTCGGGATGCCGGCGGCGGGGCCGGGGGAGGAGCGCGCCGGGGCTGCTAAGGCGTCGCGCTGGCGCGGGCGTCAGAACCGCGAGAAGCGCTTCACTTTCGTGCTGGCGGTGGTCATCGGCGTGTTCGTGGTGTGCTGGTTCCCCTTCTTCTTCACCTACACGCTCACGGCCGTCGGGTGCTCAGTGCCGCGCACGCTCTTCAAGTTCTTCTTCTGGTTCGGCTACTGCAACAGCTCGCTGAACCCGGTTATCTACACCATCTTCAACCACGACTTCCGCCGCGCCTTCAAGAAGATCCTCTGCCGGGGGGACAGGAAGCGGATCGTGTGAGCTTTCTGCGGGCGCTCGCGTAGACTCGTGCCGACCGCAGGCAGCGGGCATTGGGGGGTGCTCAGCCCCAGGGCGCTCGGAGACCCGGGTCCTGCCTGCTCTGCGTTTCCTCGCCTGGGGTTGCTCTGCAGCCCCCTTCAGGTGGGCGTCTGCTGCTCCTACGAGGGAAGCATTCTTGCTGCCACGCCCCCGCCCCTCCAGTTGTTGGTCTGGCCACTCCTGACCTGGAGGCAGCTTCCTGGTGGGCCACCCCTAATCAGTATTGCTTCCTAAAGGTATTTTCACCCTCTTTCCCTGGTACAGCGCTCGCAGCTCTTCAGAGCAAGCACTGGACTACAAGGGCATGGCTCACAAACGGTTAATGGATGGGGGTTACCTAACCCTGGCTAATTCACCTTCCATCCCCAACTCTCTCCCTCTCTTTTTTAAAAAATGCTCAGGGCAGCCCTGCCTGCCCTCCCCATCTCCCAGTGTAAATATATTTTTGATAGGACACGTGGGGACCCCACATCTCTTGGCCTTGGTTTTGATGTTGGAATCCTGGCCTTGGGAGATATGCCTTCCAGGCAGACACAGCTGTCTGGTTCAGGCCAAGCCCCTTTGCAATGCAAGCCCTTTCTGGTGTTATGATGTCCCTCTATGTCGTCCTTTTCACCAGCAACTGGTGACTGTCCCTTAGATATGGACCTGCTTTGAGATTTCCTGACAAGGAAAAGATTCATGTCCATTTTTTTTCCTGTGCCTAACAGCATAATTGCCTTTTCCTATGTAAATATTATGATGACGGACATAAGTAAATGAACCTTTCTGCCTCACATCAGCCCTTTGTATAAAGCCATTTTTCTCTGATGCACTGTTTGCCCCAGTAACTCACTTTAAAACCTCTTTCCAGTGCTCCCGCTCTCCCTCCAGGGCCACTGCTTGAAGAAGAATATGTATGTTTCTGTTTTGTATGTATGCGTGCCCCTCCTGCCCCGAAAGTGCTGACTATGGGGAAATCTTTTAGCTGCTGTTTTTAGATACCAAGGAGTGGAAATTATGTGGAAGAAGCAAACCTGATACAATTTGCCCAAGGTAAACAGTTTGAAAAGACAAATGGGCCTGCCAAGCTGTACAGTTCCTGCCCCCAGAGCTATTAGGTATCAAAGTGTTGTCCTTTCCCCCCTCCCTGCTTTTCTGGTTGAGATCATGTCATTGATGAACTGCCAAAGTCAGGGGAGGAGGGCGGAGACCTGGTGTTTACATCTGCGTTTCTACATGTTTTAGAGACAATTTAAGGCCTGCGCTCTTATTTCACTAAAGAAAAACTAATGTCAGCACATGTTGCTAATGACAGTGGATTTTTTTAAATAAAAAAGTTTACAGATCAAATGTGAAATAAATATGAATGAAGTGGCCCTCTTGTCTGTTATCTGAGTTTTCAAAAGCTTTAAGAATCTCAGAATATCTGATTTTATGGATTTTTAAAAAACAAAAAATACATGTACATTATAAAATTTTTTAAAATGTTTGATCAATAACAAAGCTACCACTTACTAAGTGTTCCTGATGTGCTAGACACTGTGGTGAACCAGTTGTAGGCATTGCCTTGTTTACTTTTCTCAAGCACCTGGTGAGGTAAGTTTTACTATCCCCATTTTACAGGTGAAGCAACTGAGTCTCAGAGCAAGTGGCTTGCTCAAGGTTAACAAGTGGTGGAAATGCATTGTACCCAGCTTTATCTGCTTCTAGGGTCTGTACTTTGAACCCCAGGACCTTTCCAGAGTTTTGGCATTAACCCTTCTCAGAACCCTCCCAGTGGAGAGGTGTCTATGCAAAGTGTGCTATTCACACCAAGTGTGAGATATATCCCAAGTATGTAATATATACCAGGTGTATACATACCCCAGTGTCTATATGCCCTAATGTGTCTATATACCTCAAAGTGTATATCTACTCCAAAAAGTGTGGTATGTGCACCAAGTGTGGAATATTCTCCAGAATGTGTATCATACCTTAAAGCATGATAATATATGAAAGGCAGTGTATACGCCATAGTGTGGTTATGCAAAGTGTGATCTAAACACCTGAACAGAACCGTATATCAGTTTGTGGTTTGAATTATCTCCGGCCAAAAGGCGTGCATTCTTCATGTTGCATTGCTGTAAGATCAAAATCTGCTCTGCTGTCTAGGAGGGCTTATGGTCCTCGCACTCTGGTTATGGCACTTTGAAGCTGGAAGGGGCCTTAGAGATCCAGGAGTCCAACCCCTCATCTGACAGATGAAAAGGCAAATGCAGATTCAAGAGGGAGCGACTTGCTCAGGATCCCCCCGCTAGGTGACAGGGCTCTGGCTCCAGGCTGCCTGGGCTAGGAAGTAGCTGAGAGGTATGTAGAAGTAGTTCTGTGCATGTAATCAGATGCAGTACTGATGAAGAGCCGCGCATGGAGGAGGGGGGCTTGAGGGGCAAACACAAGTGCCAGGTTGTGGGTTTTGGGGGAGGCCAGACTTTGTGAGCCCAGCCCCCTGCAGTGTGTTCAGACCAGCTCTGGACACCCCCCAAGAAGCAGGTCCTCTGCACCCTCTGGGCAGTACTTGCAGCATCTCCTTATCTTCCTTTGCTTACCTGGTACAGGAGAGGGTGTCTGTATATGCATTGCGGGGAGGATGGAAAGCCCTGAGAGCACTGAGAGGTCTGGGAGAGGGATGACTGTAGCTCTGAGGGGGTGAGGAGGTGCCATCACCTGGCCCTCTGAGCCGGCAGACAGAAGGGTGGCCAGGTGCTGGGCTCCAGTGACCCTGGCTCAGAGCCTTCACAAACCAGCCTCCTGGCCTGTGGCGCCAAGGCTAGCTCCCTGGTCTGCTTCTGTGGCCTGCTCCCCACCCCACCCTCACCCCAGCCTCTCCTCTCCTTCCTTGCTCCAGGGCACCCATCACCCCAAAGGCAAACAGTGCCAGACAATAGCCTGCCTGGCAGGCCCCCAGAACCCAGGCTGTGTGTCCCAGCCACAGGAGTAGGTACAAACACTGCTTGCTGTTGACTCTCCGCTCTGTCCTGTCTGCCAGGGAAGTATTTGCCTTGCCTCCACCCCCAGAGGCCCACTTCCCCAGAAAAGGGAGAAGCAGCGTGGGCCATGGTGCTACACGGAGGGGCCTCTGGTGTCATGCTCCCTCTTCCTTGATACAGAAGCAGAGAAGCCTCAGAGATGGATGGAGCCTGCAGAAAGTGAGGGAGAGAGGGCTGGAGCCCAGCCCTGGGTGGGTTTCTGATTTCACAGTAGGAATCGCTGTTTATTCATTTGCAAAGGACTCAACAGTCTGCCAAGGTGTGGGGTGGGGAGGGGAATTGAAGCAAAATAGCTCCTAAAGGGATCTTGGCTTAAAGAGCAGGAGATAAGACTCTAACCCCATACATAGCCTCCAGTCCATAGTATCTGTTCCCGAGTATCTGGGCCAAGAGGGTCTGTCTGCGTGGCAGAATCTCCTGTTTTATGTAACTTTGGCTGGGATATTTATTGAAAGCCATTGGCTTTTGGGTCTGAAGTGTGTCTTGCTGGATTTGCTCCTGCAAGTGCCCTGGGTTGGGGAAAGGGCAGTACCTTCGTTTGAACCTGTGCACAAGCACGATCTCCTCCTCCCCAAGGCTTTGTTCAATTTCTTCTAGGCCAAAAGGCTGGGGGAGAGAAGGATGAAAACATGGCTTGGGCTTTCCCCTGTCTATGAGTCTATAATCAAATCAAAGATTTAGAGCCAGAAGCATCCTCATCAGTCCTTAACGCCTACCTTGTACTGGCAGATCAAGGGACCTGAGACCTAGAAAAGCTGTTGGTTATGCAGCATTCCAGGGGCCCTTGGGCCCACTCCTCCCTGAGACTCTCTGTCTGATGCCATATACACCCAACATGAATTCCATTTTGTTTTGGGAGTGGTGACTTGCTAATCAACCCCAGAGGACCCCGTGTGCCTGCTTTGTGTCAAGCACCATGCTAGGTGCATGCACTGTGCAAAGCTCACCGCTTGTCCCGGTGAAATGAGATTAGGGCCTGCCTCTGCCCTCTGGAAGCTTTGGAGCTACATGGGGAGACAGGATGTGCCTGTGAAAAGCACTAAATAGCCACACACACTGACAGTGTGGCAGTGGGAGAGTGGATGCTGTGCGCCCACCAAGGGTAATGGGCATCTGCACTGTGAGTGAGCAGTGGGAAGAGGTGGCTGTGGCTGGGAGCTCAGGGCTTAGGATGTGGGAGTTGGGATGCCAACACTTTGACTGAGAAGGTGAGGCCCACAAAAGAAGCTCTGATTCTAGCAGCTTCTTCTCTAAGTCCTGTGGGACCATTGCCAGGCCTGGGCAGTGGCACCTGGGCCCAGGTCAGACCTCAGCTTTCATCCAACCTTATCCTTGGGGATGGCATGGCAAGGTCCTGTCCCCATTTGGGGACACCTGTAAGGAAGTTAATCTCCTTGACTCAGTAGCATAATAGGATCCAGGTACCCAGGTCCAGAGCCGAGTGCCAGGCTAGCCCTTGGGCCTCTGCCCTGGGCCATGCCACCTCTCACCATGGGCCTGAGAGTTCAAGGTGCAGGAAGGGGAGCCTTCCTCAGTAGAGGGCATGCCCGAGGGGGAGGCCGCATCAAGTCATGGGGCGAAATCACTAACACTCGGATTTGCTTTGGGAATAGCGTTGATCTCTTTGATTACCAGAAATCCTGGGGCTTCGAGTTAGTTAAATACAAAAAGAGAGAACACGGCCTGTTGGGAAGAGCCTAGACTGAGCACTATGATGCCTGGGTTCTAGGCCCAGTTTTGTCTTTTACCAGCTGTGTGATCTTGAGCAAACCCCTCTCTGAGTCCCTGCTTCTTTGTTTATGAAATGAAAGTGGTCGGTCTATTTAAAAGTGTGTTCTATGCAGTTAATTCATCTACAAAAATCTATATTATCTCCATTATCCATCACTGTTATCATTCTCTCTGCCTCTACTGTCTGTCATCTACGTATTGTCTTGTCTGACTGCCATCTGTCTGGGGGGATGCTGGGGTAAACAGTCTTCAGTAGGAACCTCTCCTTCGGGATTGCTCAGGACTTTGATGTGCCCATGTGGTTTGTGATTGTCTGAGAGAGGACGACATGGTGTGCTATGTTTTCCAAACTCCTTGGACTGGAATTTCATGTTTTTTTACAGAGCATCTCAGTGAATCATGTTTGCTGGAACACTTGTTGGGTAATACTGGGTTAAGGGATCTCATGGGGCTTTTCTGCTGATCCGTTTTATGATTCTATGAAATGCTGAGTGTGCTCTCTCCTTCTGCCCAGGACATAGGTGAGGCACACTGGGAATGGCCAAGCCATGTGTTCTCTGTAGGGTCAGTTGGTCTAGGGGCCAGGGGCCTCACTGAGGCTGGGGTAGAAGTGAGGGTTTGGTGTGTTTTCCAAACATAGGCTAAGCCTACATCTGTGTGTGTTTAACATGTGATTGTGTATGGGTGTGTGTATGTATCTGTGTGTGTGTAAACAGGTACAAATGGACACTGAGCACCACCTTGCTCATCTGGGCCAGGCGTGGAAGCATCTGGGGAGTTGAGGGTATACATGTACAGACCAGAGGAAGAGGTCACAAAGGGAATTAAAGGGGAGTGTGGTGCATGTCGCTGGTTCTCATTTCAGTTGGCCCCTCCCTGCCTGTGGGTCTGCTCCCGCAAGGTGGAATGCCACGCCCCTTCTAGGAGGAAGATGGGATGATGTGCATTCTGGAATGTGCACATTCTGGAGCAGCCAAAAAACACTGCTTCTCTGGCAGGCATACTCTTAGCTTCCAGGCTGTCCTGTTCTCCATGAAAGGGGCAGTTTCTCTGACTACGGGAAACTCTGGAGGGGATGAGAGGCCAGGGTGAGAGGCTACTACTGTTCTCCCCAGCTTTTTCAAGGGCAGGAACTTGAGACCTCTTTAAAATCTATACCTGAGAAAAACAAGATGGCACCCTGAGAAGGGATGAGAGAAGGGGAATTGAAAACGGACTATGTGAAAGGTATAGGTGGGGTTAAGAGAAACCTACAAGGGCCAGAGAAGGACCCTGGGACTTGCACAGTGGGAAGCTGTCAGCACCTTCAGAAGGGGACAGGGGAGGGAGGCACTAGCCACACTATTAGAACTGGGACTTTGGGGAAGGATACCTGGAAGGCACTGCTGGCAGAGGACCCCTGCAACCATTGCTAAGCTGTGTCCGGATGGGGAGAGCAGGGAGAATCAGCACATTCTCCACTCTCACTCCTGCACCCTGATCTGCTGGTGGCTGCACTTAGCTGGAACTCAGCACAGAAGAAAGAGAGAGGGAGCAGCTCACAGGGCTCAGCCTTCTAGGGCCCAGCATGGACAAGGGCAGAAACTATAGCCGGGGGTTGGTGGGGGGCAAGTGGAGAA